ATACAGTGATGCTGGTCACAAAAGTTAATCTTCATGGCTATTGAAAGATGTGATGTGACTTTCTCAAGCAGACAAACAAAGACCTATCTGTGCAAATCATTATGTCATGTCCAAACAAGAAGTGCACAGGAATAGTTTTCCAAATGTTTCTGTCAGTATTTTTACAGTACCATCGTCTGCAGAGTGGGCTGGAGTTCTGGTTTCTAAATCATTTTTCAGTTGAAAACACAAATGAGAATGTGTCAGGTCACACATACACCTCCTCCTTGTCACAGTGTTTCTTGTACATGGGTGCCATATACTGCTGGAGAAGACAGAGTTTGGTACTTTGCATCTCTGATGTAGGTAAGCCTGCAGTATTTACATGGCCCAAATTCTAGCTCAGACCCTGGTCTTAATTTTCTGGTGGGTGGGCATAGATTTTCAGTCCTTAGATGAATCACCATTTGAAGGGATCAGCCTGTCTCTGGTGAATTTCAGGAGAAAGTGCAGTACTGTGCCAAGCAGTGCTCCTCTAATTTGGGATCCCTAACAGTGTTTACATCATGAGACCCTGCAATTTACTGCAGGCTTCAGCTTTCCAAGGATTTTTTAAGGGCACATGGGGTTTCCCATTCCCTTTACAATACAAAGTTTACATTCCTAAGACTGCTTCATTGACATTCAGTCTCTTTTTACCTGCATCCTCTAGTTATATCAACAAAACCATGGCCATTTTGTGTCAAGGGTTACAGAAAAAAGGCCTCAAACACATGCAAATCCCAGACAATATAATGTGTAGCCTGATACAGGTGCTACTTTTACATGCTTCTAAATCAGATAAGCAAAACAGGTAAATCCTGTAAGTATGCTCACAATGTTTTAGTGACACTTTTTACCATTTTTGCACGTTTAGATTCGATATTGGGAAAAAATTCTTCATTGAAAGTGTGGTGGAGCATTGGAATAGGCTGCCCAGAGGAGTGATGGAATCACTATTCCTGCAAATATTAATATACCACTATGTCCCTTGACACCACCGTAAATGTGGTGCCAAGGGACATGGTTCAGTGGAAAATCTGGAAGTATTGGGTTAACAGTTGGATTCAATGTTCTTTGAGGTTTTTTCCCACCTAAATTATTCTGTGATTCTCTGAAACTCACAGTAACAGTGACTGGAAGAAAGTAAACTTTTTATTTTTTTGTTGTTTGTAAGTATGTGTATGCTAAATTTAACAGAGAAATTATGGTTGAAAACTGAAAAGAAGATAGTCAATCTTAAAAGGCCCAACTGTTCTACTCACTGTGAACTGTGAGGCAAAATTCCTTGGCAATCTCTAGGAGAACAGGTTATAAATAAAGTTAAAAACATATATGAGGCACTGTAACCAGAATAGTCCTTTTATTTTTATCCAGGTCAACAGTCAGATTTTTGATGTTAACTTCCTTTTCTTCTGTGTCTTTTAGATCAGAGTGCATAAAGCTCAGCTTGTGGTAACCTGCTGTAACTTAGTGTGTCCATTCCTTAAAATTATCATGTAGGTGTAAAAATTTGGAAGAAGAAAAATTCTTCTTCTTAAAATACTGGGTATTTATCAGCAAACAATTTGAAAATAACTTCACACTACTTGCACCTCTGGTTTCTGATTTACTGCATCCAGTGAATGAAATCTTATTTTGTTCAGTTTTGATAGTCTTTTAGATTTTTATCTAAACATCAACAAACCACTCAGAAAAATTAAAATCTCAGTGTTTTCTTTGCCTTTTTTTTTTTTTCCAGAGGTGTATTTTCAGTTCTGTAAAAGTTGGCAATTACCCTTTGTCATTTTCTTTCAGCTTGAATTTGTCCATGCATTTATTACCAAGGGGAGCGCTATCTTTAATTGTGCATTAAAATCCACCCTGGCCTGGTGTGCAATTTTCCCCTTATAAATGATTTTTATTCATGTGCTGTAAGGTCCATAGGCACTTGCCATGGCTGGCTGACTTCTTGAGGCAGAGCCCTGGTTACACATATGGGTAAGCTTGCTCCAGAGGTCATGTGTAGTTTTGCAGGGACAGCGCTGCAGATAACTGCTACCTAATTAGATAACTAAATAGGTGACTGTCTGGTTAGCCTGAACTTTTCACACACCATTACCTCACATGGCAAAGTCCATGGTGTGTTTTTATGCAGTTCACAGTCTTGTCCTTAGGTTCTTCCTTTACACTCACTCCCCTGGCAGATTTTATCATTCCCTGAGAATAAATAGCAAAAGTCTGCTTAGTTCTGTCAGCATGTGGATCATCTGGCTGCCAACTTGCAGGATGGATGTTCTAGCACATTTTGGTACCTAATCCTTACTCAGGAGTTTCTGCAAAGTAACATCAAAGAAGTACATATATTGCTATAGATCTCAAGAAATCCAAAGGAGATTGGAGGAGAGGAAAATGAGAGAAATTAATTCATGAGTCTAGACATTTTTGTTAGAAATACACAACAAAATGGTGGATAGAAGCCTGTCACTATCTTAAAATCAATTATGTTTACCATATGTTGGGCTGCTGGATGAGGACGTACCAGTTCAGGCACAGTAGAACCTTCTGTCATTGCAATGCACGTGATTTCCAACTCTTATGTCCCCTGCCACATTAAGAAGGTAATGATATCCTTTCAGTATAAATATCTCTGTATACGTCTTTGTCAGCAAGTTGAAAAAATTTAAATTAACCCAGCTGGATCGGAAATTTTCTTTCCCAACACAGAAGGTGTTGCTCACTTTTACAATGACAATCAAATCCCTATTACACGGAGTACTTGAAATTTTCATGTACATAGGTAAGACCTTTAGTGTGAAAACCAAAATGTGAAGGAATTGAAATGCATGTTTGTTTTTTGTGAGCGCTGTTTGTGGGTACAGGCAGCAAAGTTTGTAAAGAAATAAGGCCAAATCTTGGATTTATAAAAGAGAGGAGGAATCACTGAGTTAATTACAGCATTCTGAAGCTGTCACATGCTGATGGTTCACAGTTCTGTATTGCGGTGTTTCTCTTTCTTTTCCACTTCAAACTTCGTAAACTGACCCTAAGATGTCTAAACTCAGGTAAGTCCTTTCTGGTGGGCCTACCATCTGTCTCGGGGCCTTTTTGTGTATTTTTTGCATTGACTGTCTGTGCTGTTGTGTTTGATGGTGGAGGCCATGCCTGGACTTGCTGGTGCAAATGCAGAGTTCAAGAAACACCTTCACTTCATAGGGTGCAGCAGTATATTTGCAAATCCAGTCTGTCTAGATGCCTGGAATAAAACCTGCAGGTAGGGTCAATGACAACATGAGGCTGAGAAAGCTGGGGTGTTCAGGGCAAGCACAGAATTGAAGTTTTCCATACTAGGGAAAGGTAATGAACCAAAGAGCAAAATGAGAAACCTTGCAATAGCAGGAGAAGAGTGACAACAGTTGTTAGGAAATGGATGAGTGGGAAGATGCAATAACCCTTTTGACTTAGGCACACAAGAAATTAGCAGCCTGAGAACACCAACTGTTGCCTTCCCTGGAAAGTAGAAGGGAAAATATTTTTGCATTGCCTTGCAGTATGCCAGGCACACCACCAAGGTTAGTGATGACTAACAGAATGACTGGGGCTGTGGACAGGAAGGGCAGCCACAGCTGCATTCCCTCCATGCCTGCAGATTTTGTAGCCAGGCAGTTCCTCTCTGCTCCAGATTCTCTAGGACAAACTTAAAAGCCTTGTCCTAAAAGGATGTTGTAAAGACAGAGCGTTGTAACAGAAGGATTCAGGGCAATTACCTGATGAATGAATAGCCCCTCGATCCCACTGCTGGGCTTAAGGGTTTATAACTGATGGTGACAGTACAGATGGATGTCTGCTCAGTTCCCTCTACAGCGCTGGGAGCAGATGGTGAGGTTTCATGAGTTTTACCTCTAGTTCTGAACACCATTCTTAGAATTCATCTTGCCTTGCTAATTATTGGTCAAAAGGCAGACAGCACCCCATCCAGATGGATCATAAAAATGTCCAGTCTTGGGGAATACATTCTTTCCCTGGGGAAATTAATCCAATGGTTAATTGTTCTCATTGTGAAAAATTTTACTCTGTGTCCAATAGGAATGCCCCTAGAACTAACTTGTATCCGTTACCTCTCACCTTTTCTGTGTGAATCCCTGTAAAAAAGGGGTCTCCGTCTTTTTTGTAGCCACACTTGAAGCATTCAAACATCATGATAAGGTCTCCCCATAGCCTTCTTTCCCTCAGGCTGAACAAACCCAACTCTCAGCCTTTCTGTACATGGCAGGCTTCCCAGTTCTTTGAACATCTTTTTGGCCCCTCTCTGAACCCTGTCCAGCCTGTCTACATGTTTTTTTTCTGTCCTGCAGGGACCGAAATGGAACACAATATCCCAGATGTAGCATGACAAACACTGAGCAGAGTGGGATAGTGACTTCTTTAACCTCTGCTGGTGATGCTCTTTTGATGGAACCCAAAATCCTCAGGTCTTCCTTTGCCACAGCAATACACTGTTCACTCCTGTTGAGCTTCTTGTGCACCAGAACCCCAGTCCTTTTCTGCAGAGCTGCACCCAAAGTGGGTAAATCCCAGCTTGTGCTACACTGCTGGATTATGTTTCCCTGAGGGCAACGCCTTATATTTGTCTTTGTTGAAATTAAACCAGTAGCTGTTTTCTACTTCTTCACACAGAGTTCTAAATGGGCTCATCTCCATATCATTTGTTCAGTTTCCAGAACTGCTGTAATCTTCCACTTGGTGTAGATCATAAAAAATCAACTTTTAAGCATGTCCTGTTCAGTAAGTGGTGTTAATTCATAGAATCAGAAATCAAATTTTGGCTTCATCACATACTTTAAAATTAAGATCCATTGTCTTGGTTTGATTCTGACATGTACTGAGAATTGCTTCAACTTCTTATTTTAATGTTTAACAAAGATGCATACATTTGTTGTTGTCAGTTAATTATTTAATTTAGAATAAAATAGATTTCATAATTCATCTGACTAAAACAGGCAGTCTTTGACATAGGTTAGTCAGTACATCTGAAATAAGAATTTTAAATGGGAAAAAAATAAAAAGCCCAGAGGATTTGAAGATTATCTTCAGCTTTTTGGTGTGATCCTGCAGCAGTTCTCACATCTCTCATTTGACAGCACTGTTATAAACAATGATGAATCTCTTAATTTTAGAGTTGTCAAGAAAGGTCTCCATTTTCTTAGTTAGTTTCCTTTTTAATTTTTCTACATTCACATCAAGAATAGCAGGAGAGTCTGATCTGGCATGGACACTGTCATTCTTTCAGGTAGGCTGATGGTCTCGGTGTGACTAGGGCTGTGGATACAGCTGTTTGGGAAGGAAAGCTTATGCAGGCACCAGCACTTTAGTCCCCTCCCAGGGGACAGATCATCTGTATTAGCCGAGCATCTGTCCTTGATAGAAATAAACAGTTAACCCAAATGACAAACCCAAATGACAGTCACATGCCTGAACACCTTTTGGATGACCTAATTCCTGTACACATGACTCTTCTACTAGATGGGCGAACTATTCTTTACTATCTCCCTGCATTGATGTGCACTAGATGTGTCCCAGAGAGGAGTGAGGAGGCCTTTTACACAAAACAGGATAAGACATCTAATAGACAGCCATTTCAACACAGTATTACTGTTTTTACTGTATCTGAAAATGAATAATGATATTATAAAGTATGTTAGCACTGAAAGACTGAGACTGCAGTCATGGGAAACGTGTATGCTCTTATTATGGTTTTTCTTAGATAATTCCACAATAGTTCTCTGAAATACTCTCTAGAGCTTCAGTTTGATCATATTTATGTTTTTCCATGGGTTTTTTTATGTTTTTCCATGTTTGGTTTTTTTTTTTATTTCTAAGAAGGCTGCAGATTAACAACTCTGGTCTTACTCATCACTACCAAATATATTTTCTGTCCTCTGCAAACCCTGTGATGACCTCCACAGTAATGCAAACATCTCCACTGCAATTACTCAAATCCTATTACCCCTTTGGTGAATTAAATATTTACTGTGTTTAGATGTCAGCTTTAAAATTGCTACAGCTCTCCCACTCTGCTTCTGAAGACAGGAGAAGTATCTAACATTAGAAACAAAACAGGGTTAATTTATCATCAAGTACAACTTAATGTACTTAAGTACATACTTACTAGTACTCTACTTGATATTTATTAGTCCTTGCCTTGAGCAGGAGATAGATTTGTGGGTGAAGATCTGCCCTTAAGCTGACATGCCTTCCTGGTTAATACTGCAGGACACCCTAGGGGATATCTCCACTCTAATCTGTGTGTGTGTGCTCAGCATCTCCTGTTATTCACTGGATCAGTGCAATCTAGCTGGCTCATTACCTTGTCATGGCAGGGAAAATATTCAGAGCATTGACTTCTTTTTACCGTACCTTTGATCCATGAAAGTGGGAAGTGGGAAATGTGTCAAGAAAAGAACAAGTTGACACCAAGTTTTTAAAATAAAATCAAGTAACAGAATTTTCTTGAGATTTTAACAAATCTGCCAGCCTTGCATAAAACTGTCAGTTTCTTACAGAGTCTTCCTCAGTAATGATACTAGATTAATAAAATGAGAATAAATGGCAGAGCCCTAGCAATCCATCCAGAGCTTAGTCAGTAAGGAGTTTTTGCTTCAGCAATCAAGGTTTAGCTGTCAAAAGACCTTTGTCTCTTTTGTCAAAACTTGTGAGTATTAAATTGACTGAAGATAACTGAAACTAGTCATCGACCTGAAAAGTCTTGCTCCAACACCTTGACACGCTGAATGCTGAGTACCACTGTTATCTGTGAGAATAAAATACCTGGAAAAATAATCTTAAAAAACGATCAATTCTTTTATCTTTACTGTTAAAAAGATTGGCATGATGTGAGGCATCTGATTAAGATATATTCCACATCACCAGCAAGCTATTTGCACCCACGTTAGAATAGCTGTGGAGAATTAGGTCTCTTCATCACAGATGAGGTCAGAACAACTGATGGTCATTAGTCCAAGTACAGGTCAGACCAGTCTACTTACACCATTTACAAAGGGAAACAATTGTTTTAATTCCAGCAGAAACTTGTGGCTTTGCAAAGATCCATTTTTAGAAACAGCTTTGATTGCTCTTCTTGATACTTAGCAACACGACACAAAACTAGCAGTTGCAGCCACTGGATAGGTTTCTGACAAAGCTCTTTGTGACAAAAAGCAGTAAGAGTACCCAACAACTCAGACACTGACAAATCAATGCTTTTCAACAGCCTCCTGCAGAGCAGAAACTAAGGTGAACCCAGGAGAAGTTAGAGACCTTGACAGGTGATGTAGGTGCCACAGCAGTTTCTCTGGCAGCAAACCTCTCAGTCCTCCAATGGATTTGGGAAGGGATTTCCTAAAGGCTCTTCCCTCCATGTCTGCTCCAGCACAAAGCAGCAGAGCAGCACTGCCTGACTTCCCTCCCACAACACCACTGAGCAAGCCAACAGACAGAATGGAAAATCAGTCCTGGTCAGTGGCCCCGAGCGATCATCACCAGAGACTCCAAAGGAGAACTTGGGCCTTTAAACTCTGAACAGAAACACACCACTGACTGCTGAGGCATAGCAGGCAGCACAGTGGGTACTATTGCATGAAAGATATGATTTCACCTCAGAGAAGGCGAGTTAAAAACACCTAGGGGTGGCAACCCAGCTCTTCTCACAGGTGGCCAGTTGGGTAGCCAAGCTGCCAAAACAACCAGCTGGAGAGCACAGCACACCCAGCTAACATCTCATGGGATGTCTGGTTCTTCTTCAGGGATAGGGTTTGCTTCCTCTGGGGTAGATTGTTGCTTTCAACAACTTCCAACCCAGCAGCACCCCCAAATTCGAAGTAACCCTTAGACATGGTAGCATTGCCCAAATCCAGATGCACCTGACACATGGAAGTGCCCCCAAACCTGGCAGTGTGCACCTGAGACCCATAGCAACACCCACAGGCCCTAAAGTTCACCCCTAAGTGGCAGCAACCACCACACCCTGGCACATCCCCAAAACGTGTTAGCACCATCCAAACCCACAAATACACCCAGACCCAGGGATACATCTTAAACCTGCCAACAGTACCACATTCCAGAGAGCCACCCTGAATGGGCACTTTTCCTCAGGCCAGGCAGCACACCCAAAAACTGGCAGCGCTGCATGGCCCAGCAGGGCACAGCAGTCCGAACCCAGTGGGCTGTTGCCAAGGCATCTGGGGCAGCCACTAGGCCAGGCCCACAACTTGCCCCAGACAGGGAATGAAGGCCAAGCAGGAAGCCTGGGTTGGCCCAGATGTGGCGGCAATCCCATCACCAGGCTGCCTGTACTCTTGTCACCCCTGGGGTCATCCCAGGGCACTGGGTCCAGCCATCCTGGATAAGGCGCAGACCACAGATGCAGATGGAATTCATGAGTATCCCCTTGCTCCAGAGGGTTACAGGCCAGCCATTCAGGGGCAGCAAGGCTTGAAGCACACGACCATGGCACTGGGCAGCCAGGCAAGGCCAGTCTGTAGGGAGGAAGGTCTGAGGAAGAATCTGTCAACCCTGATGAAGAAGATGAGACCCCAGTCCATGCCCTAACACTGCTCTCGAGAAAGGCAGAGGATAATGACTGGCAAATAAGTGTGGGATCTCCCAGCGCATATAAACAGGCAACTTTTTGTGACAGATGAAGAGGGCCAGCCAGATCCTGGGGCTGGTGCACATTGCTGGTCCTGCAGTGGTTTTCAGGCCAACTTTAGAGCTTACTTCTACCACCATGGCTGCCAAAAGGTGTGTCACATCCTCATTGGCCCACGCTGGGAGTGACTGTCACTCTTGACACTGTGCCATGGGGCATGGGGGAGCCCTCATGCTGCCTTACTGGCAGTGCTGAAGCTGCTGGTTTCAGCACTGTGCTGGCACAGTTGACCAGTGACATTCTTCAGGCTGAATGTGTGAGTTCTGTGCCCACTGTTGTTTCCTTGTGCAGTTTTAGATCCAGTCTCCCCTGGGTGGCTAGAGAGACTGTTGCTACCCTGATGCCACCTGGCTGGCAGTGCTAGGGCTCATAGCATCCAAATTGTCTGAGAAATGCAAGGAGAAACAGGATGGTCAGCAGGATAGCCACTGAGCCCCCAAGCAGGAGAAGTCATTGAAGTACTCACAACCCTGCTGGAGACAAGCCCCAGGGCTCTGCTGACAGCCCCAGTCTGGTCCCTGGCCCTAGCACAAGACACCCAAGTGCTCTGCCTCTTACCAGTGTCCGTGGGTACAGCTGTCACCCTCCCAGGGTTTTCCATTGTTCCTCAAAGAGAAGCAGTGTTGCTTTGGGCCAACAGGACCAGAACAGAGACTGCACTGGGAATTGGTAAGGCTGCGCCTTGATCCCTGTGCCCAGTTTTGGGCCATCATTGAGGAAAGACATTGAGGTGCTGGAGCATGTCCAGAGAATGGCAACATAGCTGGGGAAGGGTCTGGAACACAAGTCTGATGAAGACTGAGCAGGTTCAGCCTCAAGAAAAGAATGCTTGGGGGGATCTTCTCACCCTCTAAACTGAGATAGCATTTGGACTCAGGATCTTCAGGGTCTTTTCCAACCTCTCTGATCCCATGATATCTATGAGTTTTACCATGATTATTATGAATAGCAGCATTAGTAGTGCTTGTTCATGTTTCTCTCACTAGAAGTCTTCCCCTCATTTGGAAGGTGTATTTTGCTTGTTACCCACTTCTCCCCACTTTTAGTTCATCTTCTAATAGTTTACCATTGTAAATATTTTTTTTTTAAAGTTAGTATTTTATGAAAAAGTTGTAAGAAAGGATATATTAGAGATACTAAACCCTCTGCAAGAGAAAATTGAGAGATATATGGGTTTATAAGCTGAAAAAAAGGGATAGTAGCACCTTTTGCGGCATTTTGGGAAAGACAAATGAATTCCTTTGGGTGTTATCACTGTGACTAAGTACCACACTGCACTAGAAGAGGACATGCATATGCAAATCTTGTTGAGGACTTTCAAAAGTGATCCCACCATTTGGGAATGGTGGAAGTGTGTTGAACATGTTGCCTAAACAAAGGTATCCACAGTGTCTGGTCACTCTTCAGCTTTTCTCTCCCATTTGTAGCTCTCAGCAGACTTCTCTGACCACACGAATGGTTGTAGGGAAGGACTGATCCAATAATCAGTCCAATTTTGAGCTTAACTGGGCAAGCTGATCTTATACCTGAAGTCTTACCATCCTCTTCAAGGGTATTTCCTTAGATACGTGAATCCTCACCTCAGTGAGTGATTTTGTGTTCAATTTGATTTACTGTGATTATGTCTTCTGTGATTTGGGTCCAATTACTAGGTCATATTAATATTTAGATTCCTGAAGATACCTCCTCTTATATTCTAACATGGAAAAATATGTGCAGCATAGACTGCATTTAGGATTCAAGATGAAAGGTAGAGTCATTGAATAGGCTGCTGCTGAGGAATAAAATACTGTGGGCAGTCTTCTGTCTATGGAATCTCTGAAGAGTATTTGCTTACCTCATAACAGTCTCCACCTTGCCTTGTATTCTTACAAGAAGCCATAAAGCACGCGACAACTCCCTTAACCAGTTACTACAAATTAGTTTCTTTCTTTTCTGTTTAAAAATTGTGAAATACCTGACTAGTGTTGCCAGTCCCTTATGTGGAAAAACAGCCTGAGCAAACATAGTAACTCAGAAAACTGAGTCAGAGCATGGTCCTGTCTCTCATGTGGCTTGAATAAGTACATCCTAATACATTCAGCTAGTATTCAGGAATTTTTCACAACTTTTACTGAATTGTGTGTACAGTTACAGAAGTCAAGGGGGATGGAAGGTGTATCAGGAATCTTACAACTTTTAGGCAAAAAATAAACTAATTTTTAAAGGATTTGAATATTTTGCCACTATCCAAGCAGCTGCTACAATAACTTGAAGCTAGGTTTTCCCACTTTTTGTGCAAAAAAGTCAGAGGATATGGGAAAATCAGTGAACTTTTTCACTAAGATGTGTTTCATTTTCTAGCTAGCATGTAGAATTTCAGCTCAAATACGATTTCAAATGTGCATGACATAATACTAGAATTCTGCCCTATATGCTATCCTCTCTCTGTTTGAGATATTATTTTATAGGATCGTTACCTTATTTCAGAGAAAAGCATGACTTCATATACTCTGTGTCAGTGACACCCACCCCAGGAGCACACAAGCTGCACTTTTATTTTATTAATTAACACAGTATTAGTAAAATACTCTGAAGATGGTAAGCATCCTCACTGTGCCAATGTAATTACTACTTTTCACACTAACTATTTTCCTAAAAAATGTTAAATGTGTCTGAATGGTCCAAGATGATAACAAGATGCGGTCTCATAACATGTTGTTGGCTTGGGAATCTGAAGTTACAAAAGCATCATTAGTTTGTAGTTTAAAAGAGAGCTTACAGAGCCAAGTGTACTATAAAAATACAGTCATGAGGACATTATGATGAAGTTAAAGAAATTGCGTGCATGCATATGCATGTATAACAGCACACTGCACAATAGGGCAAAAAGGATTAAATGTTTTTGGGGAGACTGGGTTGCATTTTCATGTTTTTGCAACAATTAATTTTTTAATGGGTTCTCTCCACCTAAGAGCATCTGTCCCATCTCTCTCTCTTACCTCCTGTCACTTCCTTCCTAAGTCTTTTTGTCTGTGCATTGCTCCATGACAAAATGCTGCTGGTCAAATACTGCAAAGTTATATCCTCACAACTTTACAGGCAGCCCTGACAAGGCCTGCAATAATGTGAGAATTCCTGAACTTGAGTGATGACAGAGTGATTTTTACAGACGAAGTTAAAGAATCTAGGCACATCCGGAAAGGTACTGCACAGCTAATATTTCAAATAGGTGCCTGGTGTCTTTGTATCTAAGCTTAGAACAGTTATGAATGTACAAATATATCTATGTTGCTCTGAGAAGGCAATAAATAGAATTGTACTTTACCATGGGCTTGCTGGCTGTGAGCCAAACCATGGAAGCAGAGACAGGCAGTGAGGCATGTATATTCATACCCCCCTGCACTGACCTCAGAGTTTACCCCAGATTGGCATCATTTCTTCTTGATACAGCAAACTATTTTTTACACTGTTACAGTATGTCACCCCTGAAGCTCAATCCTAAATCCAAATAGTTAATTGTATGAAAAGGCCTATTAAGTAAGAGGACTACTCATGCACGGAAATCTGTGAAGTACTGGGCCAGGTGCTAAAATAGGAAAGCTGATCGTGTTTTCAGGGGCCAAGACTATGAATGGTCTCCCTATAAGTTTAAATTAATTCTCCCAGGGAAGCAAACTAGGAGTTTGAATTTCTGTGTTAGTGATAAGTCTCTCACCTTTATAGTCCATTGTTTTTATTCATTGGCTGCCACAGACTGGAATCTGTCCAGAGGGTAGAATTCTATTTTGTGAAAAGAGTCCTCTTTTCAGTGAAATCCCCCATCATTTCCCTTTTTCACCAGTATTATATTGCTTATTTACAAGGTTTGTAAGTTCTAATGAACATTACCTTTTGTTCTGTCTCAGCCTGTCAGCAAAGTTTAGTAAACCTTGTGCCTTGTGACAAATACATTTACCAGCTGGATGGAGCATATTTGCAGTGTGCTCTCTATGGAGATGCTGTCTCTGTGAATTACTGTGGTGCAGACGAAAAACATCTGGCATTCCCTTCTGAGGAAAGGTAAGCATAGCTCCCTTGTTGCTGGCCAGTCCTAGCGGGGCTCAACATTTGTCTTCAACAGAAAAAGAAGTTAGGGAAGAACATGTCTTCACCATGTGTGCAGAGATACAGGAACCTCAGGGCGGGGAGGCAACTGCCCCTTCACTCCTCTTCCACACCTCCCTTGCCTAAATATACTGCTGACTTCCTTGTGGCATGGCATCAATCCACAAGTTTGTATTCTTCTTTCATGGGGAAAAATAAAGCTGTGGTGCACTCACCAGGACCTTCTTTGCATCTAGAAAACGCAATGTGGCAATGCAGAGGGTAGGCTTTTTTGAACATGTGCTATTGACCAGATGCAACACAGCCATAAACTCATGCTCAAAACGTAATTTAGGACTTGAACTGCTCCCCTTTGGCAGTCATATGGAATCACCATGGCAACTGTTCTACTGGAAACAGCATGGATACACTGGAAAATACTGAAATCTCAAAAAGAATTTTGTGATGGAAATCTCATTTGGAAACCAGCTCTTGTTTGACACAATTGACTCTCTGATAAAATGATAGTGAATGCTCCCACTCCAAATAGGGGCAGTTCTTGGGATCGACAAGTTTGTGAAAATGCTGAGAGCTACAATATAGAGTTTTAAAAAATACTCTGAAGTACCAAAAAAAAGCCCAAAAACAACAGTTTTCTGAAGCTGGTAAGTTGAACAGAATAATACTTTTTTCTCTACTCAGTGTGCACGTGCAAAGGACCCTCAAATTGAATATAAAGTCATAGCAAGGATAAACACATTGTCTTCCTGAGAGAAGATAAAGGAGATCCCATTGCATAGTTATGTGTTATTTGATGACCCTCACCATACTGCCACAGCAGCTGCCCAGTAGAGAAATTCATTATAAACAGGAAAAGACTCTCTTTTCTCTGATAGAAAGAAATTATAGGTCACGTGAAGTACATTAAAAAAAAAAAAAGTCCAAGATCCATTTTGTTGAGATTTCCTTTGTAACTGTTTTACTGTGAAAAGCTATTTGTAAAGATCAGTAGGCAAGAAACCTGTTACTGCTGAAAGCACACAGATTTCTAAGCTTCTAAGTTTCTTTAACACTCCTGGGTTTCCATAATGATTTACATATGTAACAGATCAAAGGAATTTAACCCAATGTGTTTATTTCTAAGAAGCTATTGCATTTTTAAGCAAATAACCTTGTTCAACCTTTGACTTTCTTCCTTATAATATTGTCTGATGGATGCTGGAAGCAGAGGAATTACAGTGATTCCAGATTACTGCTCTATTTTAAAGAGGGCGGTGTGGCCCAGTGGGCTGGAACACAAGAGATGGATTCTCTACCAGGTAACCTTGTGTGGCTGGTTTCACACCTGTGAGCACTAGCTCACTTCGTAGCTGAAAAAGAAAAAGAAAGGAAAAGGGGAGCTGGTGGCACCACTACTTGGCAAGTGGTTGAATCACAAGCAAAAAACTGTGACATGAGGAAAAAGCTGTATGTAAGAAGCAAGATTGACCTACAGCTACTTCTGAAGCAGGCTTATTTTGGGACATGATTCAATTCTGCCATCCTTCTGTCATTTTGTAGCTAAAAGAATGTGTATTCGATCTGAACACATTCACTCTGACCTGTCTGTTCAAGCTGGTTTTCAAGGTTAATGATTAAATGGCTAAAAATATAAACAAGGGCATTCACAGGGGTTGCAGGAGCAACCATGCAACATTTTATTTCCTTTGCAATGCTACCTGTTCGTTATCATCATAATCTTAAAGCACTACAGGTTCATTCTCCAGTGAATTACAGTTATTAGAGAAGAAAAGCATTTTTCTGAACTTCTTCAGACACTGTCAGTCTAGCCTTTTGCAACAGCCTTTTGAAGACAGAAGCAGATAATCTGAATTATATTGCAGTTACAAATACAAAATACATGAAAAAAATAATCAGAGAAACTGTATTAGTAGTAGTGAAAGGCTAATTCAGTTTTAATGTAAAATGTTGAAAAAATCTATTCTTAAATATCTTTATGAGGTTGAAATGAACATGGATTCTACATAATACTTGTAAATGAACCAGAAATATTTGGATGCTAGTGTAAGGCTGTTTTAGAGCCTTCAGAAGCAATCACTCTATGAGGGTGCTGGGCCGTCTAAAGAAAAAAAACATTTAATTGCTCCCACAGCTGATGTGAGTCATTGTTTGTTTCCTCTTAGAGCAATACCTCAGTCTTCAGAAGGAACTCTGAAAATGAGTTAGTTCCACAGTATTTTTGTCAAGTTGTCTGCCTGCTGTCCAGATTTCTAAGAGGCATTATCTTGAAATCTTACAAGGCAAGACAGCAAAGTTCCAGAAGTAATAGACAAGGAGGAGTGAAATGAGTAGCCAATTCCCCTAAAGAGCTGGGAGCAGATATTTTGAGTCCTAGAGGTATATCCTACACATACCTGTCAAAACACTTCCCAGTCTGCTATTAAGAATAATGCCAAGGAATCAGAAGAGGGATAAAATGTTATGCTTTAGGATAATTATGGTGGTGGTATTTTAATGGCTTGTGTTTTAGACAATTTTTTTCTCAAAATTCATTACTTTTTATATTAAATCCTGGAGGTATAATGTGATTCTTTCAGATACTTCTAAAAATGATTTTTTTTTTTCCTCTGCCAGGTGGTTTTCCACATGATACAACATGGAATTTTTATTAATAATCATAATAAACAGAATCAACGGCATCAAATGCAGCTCTCCACATTTAGGGTGTTGAAGTCTGTGTGTGTATGTTTATTTTCTAAATAATGAATGCACAATGTAGAAGAATAAGGCAGCATCTATTAAAAGAGCATTCATATTTTCTGATGCCTCAGTTTTAGGAATTCACCAGAAAACAGCTAGAGCAACTGGATGCATCTATGTCAAATGACTTGAAATAGTTGGTTTAGTGCAGGTTGTAAGGAAAAATCTTCTGGACCTGTCAGCATTGATGCTTTTTTCAATAATTTTGTTTCCCTACAGCACTAAAGGTGCTATGAGACATGAAATATTTCTGTATAAAATGGGATCTGAGTGAAGTAAATTTGTGAACCATTCTAACTGGCAGTTCAGACTGGCAGTTAAGAGATGCAGCAATCTTGAATTTATGCTATTTTTTCATAATGCATGGTTACATGTCCTCTCCTCTTCTAAGTGATAGATAGTTACATAGAAATTAGAAAGACCTCTAAAATAAATGTCCCATAACCATCTACTTGATTTCAAATATTTCAAAATTACTCAAGACTATGAGCAAGACTGAAGAATTTCCTGCATTTTTGATGACAGTTTTTAGAACTTTGGTCCAAATATAGTGCTTCATATTACTAATGAATATAGCTTAATTTGCCTTACAGGTAGGTATCCTTAGCTCAGGTCATCATAAATACAGTATTTCCAAAGAAGGAAATAATTTAGCTTTGAGGTTTTGGCTACATCCCCTGAACTGGGAGTTTTTCTGGTCTCATAAAGGAGTGCTACTTTTCCTATGGTAAGACCAAGCTTCTGTCCCTCACTGAGTCTCAGATCATGTGGCTGGATTGAAGCTGCAATGATCAATGCTACAATGCACTGACCTTCTCATGGCTTTCAATCAGTCCTACCTGTAGGTACTGCACCAGATCGCAAGCATTCACAAAATTTTTTAAGTATTTGGCTTCTACATTTCTTGAAGGCTAGTATGATAGAAAAATACACATATTCTTTCTGCTTACAATGTTTCTTGCTAAAGGCAACACTCTTCAGCTGACTTTGGTTCTTCCCATCTTGCAGATTTTATGACAGAAAAGAAGTGCAGCTTTTGAATCCTGGTACATTGAATTAGTCATTGGTTCATTTTACCATGCTGTGAGAAGTGCAAGCAGAGTCACTGACAGCTGTTCTCCTGAAGTGTTCTGTACTAAAAGATGATTGGTGCACATTCAACGTTTGGAGTCTTGGCATCATATGCAGTTACAGAAATGGTAATGGAAAAGTTTCAAGAACAGCAATGATGTAGTGCAATGGTTCTCGTCCCTAATTAGGATAGATTCAATAAGGTGAAGTGCTGAATCCTGTCCCTGGGTCACAAGAATCCCATGCAGTGCTACAAGTTGGGTGCAGAGTGTGTGGAAATCTGCCTGGAGGAAAAGGACCTGGGGGTGCTGGTCATCAGCAGCTGAACACGAGCCAGCAGTGCCCAGATGGCCAAGAAGGCCAGTTCCTGTATCAGGAATAGTGTGGCCAACAGGAGCAGGCCACAGAGGGTCCCTCTGGACTCAGCACTGGTGAGGCAGCACCTTGAGCTTTCAGTTTTGAGTTTTTTTCAAAGCTTTTGAGCTTTAAGTGTTCAGTTCTGGGTCCCTCACTACAAGGACACTGAGGGGCTGTAGTGTGTCCTGAGAATGGTAACAGAGCAATGGAGCTGGAGAAGTGCCTAGAGAGGAAATCCTAGTGAGGAGCATCTAAGGGACCTGGGGAGGTTTAGCCTGGAGAAAAAGAGGCTCAGGGGTGACTTTATCACTCTCTAAAACTGCACTAAAATAAGATGTAGCCAGGCAGGGTCAATCCCAGGAAACCAGTGAGAGGATGAGAGAACATGGCCTTAAGCTGCAGCAGGGGAGGTTCAGATTGGACATTGGGGGAATTTCTTCATGGAAAGCAGAGTCAAGCATTGGAATGGACTGCCCAGGGAGGTGGTGGAGTCACCATCCCTGGAGGTGTTGAAGAAACAAGTAAACATAGCATGCAGTGACATGATCTAGTTGACAAGGTGGTGATCAGTGAAAGGTTGGGTTTGTTAATCCTGGAGGTCTTTTCCAATCTAAATGATAATTAGTCTGTCTTTCAATCTAGTTTAGGTCTATTTTACAAAAGTATATTTTATTAATCTGATAAAAAGAAACACAGTGGTAAATATGAAATAACTATAGCAGAAAAAAACAAAACCAGTATTGCCCTAAGTATGAATGTAATTCTGGCACCACTTTGTCAGCTCTCTGATGCTGTCTGAAAGACAGACAAAATTTAACTACATGAGAGATCTATAGAAAATTAAAGAAAAGCAGACACAATGCTGATCCATGTCAACAACAGAGCTTTGAAAAAAAAAAAAGTTCACCATATATCAGACTCGACCTGGCATCTGCATGACAAGGAATGGGGCAGAAAGCAGTGAAACGACTGAGTGAAACTCATGAGGTGTTGTGGACAGAGCTGCCAAACCTGTCCTGAATTTAAAAACTCTGACTCAAAAACACCATCTGCTCCTAAAAATCTGAATATTTTAGTGAACAGGGGAACAGGGGAACAGGGCTGCTAAAAAACTTGCAACAACGTCCCTCAAATGCACACAATATTAGTCTGAATATATTCAGACTAAGCTGTCATCAAATAATAAAACTGTGATTAAAACAGGAGACAGTGAAAAACTGCTAAAGGAACAAATGGTTGCAAAATAAGTGAGGGCAGCTGTCCTAGATTATGCCAGTGTTCATAAGTGTTTGTCAAACCTACAAATAAACATGTTTATATTTTTACAATAATGTTTACTTGGAAAGTTTTTACATGATGCCAGATTAGCAGAACATCACAGTGAATCATGCCATAGATATAAAGCTAGATAAATTAAAATTTTGCCAACCTGGCACTTGCTTAGCGTATGTATTCTTCTCCTGATAGTTAGGATATCTGTTCCAGGTCAGAAGTGTGGTCAACTGAAAAGGGCCCAGTCCTGAGTGAGCCAGATATCAGTTACACAGTCTGATGCAAATGCAAAGCATTAGAGAGCTAATCTTCAGTAGGTATTCCTCTTTCAAGTCAACCCTTCAGTAGATTATCCAAGACTTACCTCCTATGTTTGCAGTCCTTGAGAAAGCGGGGCTGGCAAGTCATATTCAGGAGGTCATTTGATCCATCGCTTTAGAGCTGGGGTTAGATGACAGGCTTTCCAGTGTGCACATGCTAACTAATGGTTTGGCTTACAGTAAGAGTATAAAAAAAAATTTAGCATCAGGTATTTATGTAAACATTTATTTTACAATTATCTATTTGGACTCCTCCGAAGTGGATTAAGTTGAACAGCTCAAAGGCATTTTTCTGTGAAATTTGATAAACCACAAAAATATTTAGGGAAGAAAAATGATGGCCCATTAAATGTGCACCTGAGTTTATTTGACAGTAAGTTCCCTGTGTTGACAGGTCCCAAGAGCACAGAGCTCATAAGTGGATTGTACACATAAAGTGTGGTGTGGTTGCAGCAGCCAGCCAGCCAAACAGCCTTGAATGCTCAGTGGAAAAGCACAAAAGGTTATGCTGGAGAGCAACAGAGCTTTTGTTGGCTAATTAAACAATCATGCTGTTACAGAGCGAAACAAATTAAGAAAGGGAAATATAAGACAGGGGCAGGGTTGAAATAGCAATGTCAGCTGGAAAGATGTTGCACAGAGCATTGACTGATGTGACAGGGATGTAAACAGATGTAGTTAAAGATTTAAGGGTATTAAGGCACCACTTCACAAAACCTTGCAGTGTCTAATCTGTTTACAAAGGTTATCACTTAAGGTGCTCACATTTAAAACAAATAATCCTCACCCATTGTTAAGGAAACTTCCCGGTGTGACCATTGGTGAGTCTCTGGCATTGCAGTCCCAGTGCCAGAGTCTGTCACTGTTGGGACCCAGCCCCATTGGTGAGTCTCTGGCATTGCAGTCCCAGTGCCAGAGTCTGTCACTGTTGGGACCACAGCCCCTTCTCAGGCGGGGGCTGCACTGAGCCCACGGCAGCCCCACTTGAGTCACCCCACTCTCGGTCACAGGAGCTTCCCAGGGCAGTCTGGGATGCCTCATTCCACAGAAGGATCTATTGTAGCAACACAGCAGTAACAATTTACTGCAGTAACCCAGAAACAGCCGGGCCGCTGCCTCTGAGGAGGATCCCGAGCGAAGGAGGCCCTGGGCTCTCACACCCGCCCAGGCCGGGCCAGGAGCGAGCCTCAGGCCTCACGCAGCTCTCTGCTGCTGCTGTCCCGCAGTGTCCCTTCCCCGGCCCACGCTCACGCCTTGCTGTGCCAAGGGTCGGCAGCTCACGGCCTCTTGTCTCTGTGGGCTCTCACCCCAAACTCAACCTGCAGCTCAGTCTGGGTCCTGAACTGCAGCTCACAAAGCAGCTCAGTCTGGGTCCTGAACTGCAGCTCACAAAGCCTGCTACCTGCACCAGCTCTACTGATCAATACACCTGATGTAAGAGCAGGTACCAACAGTCTTTTCTGTCGCTGCCACAGCTGTGGGTACAGTCATAAAGCTCAATGTGAAATGCCATGCCTGTTCTTGAGAGTGGTCTTCTGGGTTGTGTACACCTGTGGAGAGAGTGACTTTGTCAAGCTGTATGAGGTGTCTTGCACAGCACTGCTGCAGGACAGGGCTTTCTGCGGCATCTTTGTGACTCCTGAGCTTTTGCTGTGGTCTCTGAATTCATGTTAGATATTACAGATATCTTATGCTTGGTGGTTTGGTGCTACTCTTTGTCTATACTTGTGGTTTAAATCACATTTTAATCACTCATTCACAGGCTGCATCTTAGAAACATCAATGTTTGGTTTGAAGACAGTTCCCAGTATGGTGCTGCTTTGGATGATTTCCCAAGGGGGATTTTGTTTGCTGGCAATGGTCCCCACCACTGTGCTTCAGCTACTTGTTTATAGGCCCAGGTCCATCATGCCCTCTAAGTCAAGCACCGAGCTGACCAGGAAACAGTAATGTGGGAAGTGGGTGAATGCACTACCCCTCACATAATCTAGGTGGAGAAAGCTCATACACAGAGATTTGTGGTAATCAGACAGCTACCTGTATCAGGTGTGCTTCCTACTGTTGAAGGGTAGATGGGCTATAAATTAATTTATTTGTCAGTATTTTGACATTGTTTATTATAAGAGGGGCCAGAGGGCTTTGCTGACTTCAGAAAGTCAGCTTATATGACAGATGCTTCAGAAAGATGCTTATATGACAAAAGGGACATGGGCTGAGGAAAACGACTTCAGAAAAGCCCTGTTCTCATTCACACTCAGGCAATGCTGCTGTACACAGGCAACATTGTAGTATGCAGCCATCCTTGCTCAGGAGAGCAGCTGCCTTGCCCTCTCCACTTCTTCAGTTACTCCCCCACATTCTAGGCAATGCTTATTCTATATTTTATCAGTCTTGATGACCTTGTACTGTAAATGTTTGACGTGGAAAGGCACTGGTCTGCCATGGAAGAACAGGAAGGTGCTTAGCAGAGCTGCCAAGCTTGAGTCTGGGTGAATTCAGAGCAGAAACCTGCAGGCTGAGCTGAGAGCTGTTGCTGAAGTCCTCTGCCTTTTTAAACTGCAGTACACCCTGCCTTAAGGGGAAAGGAAGTGCATGCACACTATGCAGGCATCATCCACACAGGAAACTCCTGGGCTGTGCTAGCACAGAGAGGTGTCTGCAAAGATTGTCCCTACTCCTGAGGCTGCACTGCCACACAAGATGCTGCAAGAAACAAGTATTCTGTGCTCAGCCCTTGCTCTACACAGAAAATGTTCTCTGTGACAACAAGAGAACCTCCTCCTCTGGCAGGCATTTCTCAGATTTTTCAGGTCTACTCTCCTGTAGTTTGTTTTCATTTTTTAATGAAATCATTGTGATGAAATGAGACAATTTTCCCATGTGGGATTTGAATACGCTAACTCGTGCTTGCCATTAATTAGCTGGGTTTCAGCTCCTGATTTCAAACTATTAAAATAATTAAGTTTGTATGAAGGCTTAATCACAGAAAATAGCTGAATCTTACAGTAATGTCAGTAAGAGTCCCAGCGGGGAACATGTTCCCGGTTAGCTGCTTCTGAATGTTGCTTTGGTGACCTAATTGGTCTGCACTGAAAGCAGAGTGAAACCAATTAGGACTGCAGAAGTCTGGTACATAGCTGGGGCCAGCTAAGGGATTTTTTCCCTCATTATGTTTGTTAGAGAATCTTCCCCTCTGGCCAGCTGTTGAAAAATGGTTTATTCTCTTTTGGCAGGAGCTGAAATTCAAGTCACATGCTCATGCCCTTGCTACATAAATTTGAACAATTAAGAGTTTTAAAAATTAAGAGTAGTGCTGAACCTTTGCTTAAATGAACATAGGAAGCTATGAAGATGATCCAAATCTGAGTAAGTCAATAAGTGACTGTACCTCATGCTGACCTGTGACAGTATCTGAGTCAGGAGTGCTGATGTAGGAATTTAAATAGCACTTAACACGTTTTCCTGCTCAAAATCCTCCCTCACTCTGTTCCTGCAGGTAGATCTGTGCCTGGGAAAACTGTGTGTTTTAAAACACTTCAAGAGGCTTTTCCAGTTTTCCTGTGTTGCACCAGCTCAGAGTGTATGTAAGCAACATAAACGTGCCACTGGACTGGTATTATTAAACATGGAATCTCTTTGTCCAGGACAGCAGAACTATTAATCAGCCTGGATGAAGATGATTTTCCCTGGCTTCCTCTGATTTCCACCATGGCTAACAACATGGTGGCGTAGGAGATCAGTTGTCTCAACTCCCATTGTATTATCTTTTGTACGTCTAATTGCTTTCCCATTTTGAAAAAAATACTTCTAAATTTTTGGCTGTAATAAAAACATTACTTTACAAGACAGGGTTTTCTGAGGATATATAATTCTAACATATAGACATGTCTTCTTTTGTTGTCTTTTTAAAGACTTTTTAAAAGTTTTTAAATCTTGACTAAAGTTTTCCTCCATTTTTGTCTACCCTTCCTAAAGGTACAAGACAAATAAGGCTTTACTGGGGAGATAAATGAAATTGTAGATGACTAAATTGTAGAAAGATGAAAAAAAGGGAGGGGAGTATCTCCTTGCTACCGCAGGGTTGTTAGTGCAACAGTTCGCAGTGAAGTGATAAGTGTAACAATCCAGAAGAGAATCAAAGCAGGAAAGGACCAGAATACAGTGTAAAACTATGCTGAAGTAAAAATGGTGTAACTACAAAGGCAAAACCTTGCCCTGAACCTTTCTGCACTTGTGTCTGTTTGAAATGGAAGGGGTTTGTAAACTGGCAACAAAAATAATCAGATCTGGGGAGACAGTTGCAGGTAAAGGCTGCCGTATAGCTGGTTCCAAGTCAGGCAAGAGCTGGAAAGCAGTGACAGGATAATCCTCAATGGAACAAGGCTTCTCAAGATATTTCAGGGTGTCTACTCAGTCTTCCTCACCTTTTAAAAGAGGAGGGGGCTTGCAGTAAGGCTAAAAGTGAATCTTTCTTACTCAATAGTGAATGACCTTTTGGCATAAGATAATGTTGCTCTCACTGATGCAAAAGCAAGGTTGAGAACTTTTCTTACTATGAAGGATCCAATCAGTGGAGTGGAATTGTCTTAACCAGTCATTCAGCCCACTTTACATAAAAAAAACCCTTGATTTAAAGATGTGTATTATGATTACTTCTTTACATTGTCAATGTAATACTGGTGGTCAACACTTTAAATTTCTTATCTTTCCATATACAACTCCTCTAAGAAGGTTCTACAGCTTTTTCTTTTTATGCAAATTTATCTATGTCAATATAGGTAAAATCTTTGCTGAAAAAGCACAGATTTTTCAAACTCTATCAGAAATAGGCAGTATAGCTCTTTTTCCAAGCATTGGAAGCATAGTGGTGTTGTTTCCTTGATATATAAGAGCAAGTGCTTAAGGAGATAGAGGTATGGTACCCTGTCAGATTTTGTGTGGCTACTTTGCTTGCTTTATTTAGGGGCTGCTGGGATTGTGTTGTATTGCATCAAAACTACCATCTATATGTTCTAATGCTGTGCATTTGTAGGAACAAGGTCCTGTGCATAGATAAGGGCTTAAGCAGGTTTCAAAGTCCAATTATGTCAGTTTGCCAGCATTCGGATGGGTCTTTTTTGATTTTCTGGTATTTCCTATTGATTGTATCAGGACCAAACTAAGCTGAGCTCTCATGGCATTACAGCCACATGTTTCTGCTTGGGAAAGAAGAAAACAGGATGTATCTGCTGGCCTTTGGCCACAGCTTATAGCTTACCTGCCTTCTTGTACTTAGAGGTGGTTAAATCTACTTGCAAAGAATCAACCTGCCCAATTTGCTGAATAAATTCTATTCCAAATGAACATGCTAGAGTAATATTTTCTACAGAAATGGGACTGGACTGAGTCTATTTCTTAATGCTGCTGGTGGTGGGACCCAACCTAAATTCATGCCTTATATTTTAGAAAATTTCTTATGCACACGAATGCTGGACTGTTGTGCTTATAATCAAACCTGGTTTCCCAGGTGCCTGGAAAGACAAATAAGCAATATCCTTATATACTTATGCAACCCTTTCTGCTTAACTTTTGTTTCTTCATCTCTGGAACAGTACTTTTTGGGTCTTTTCCCTGTTTTTCTGGTAGCATTACTTTTTTCCTTTTTTTTTCCTGAGAAGCTGAGCTGAAAATGACATCATTTACCTCTTTAATTCACAAAATAACTTGACTGATTTGATGAAACTGTTCCCATTGCCCTCTGAGGGCTTTAAACCAAATCCTCACTTTCCTGGCATTGAGAACAGACAGCAAAAGACACTTAGACCTGACAGGTATTGTAACCATCTGGCCCCTGAAGCCAAACCTGCTGTCAGCCCTGGTCTGAGAG